TGAGACTTGGTTTCGTCTTATCTAGAAAATTGGAAGTAGACTCTTGCAGATTTTTGCTTGTTTACATGAGAACTGTCAATTTGTTTACACAAGGTATTTGGTGGCTACTGTGGCTGGAAGTTACGTAACTGGCGCGCGAACTGGTCACACGGCTATTTTATAATTGGCAATTTATAATCATTTTATCAACTTCTCTTTAATACCCAAGCTTATCAGTCGAACCAGTAAATTTCACGATTATTATTTGTCACTGTGGTGACAGAAATAATAATAAAAAATAACTTATTTTCATTTTTAGTTGTTTGCAGGAAATACAGATCAAAACAGTATTGTGAAGAATTCACTCAGTCCTGACGTCAAAGCCAAGTTCGTTAGATTTTATCCCGCCACAAATAACTGGTATCCCTGTTTGAGAGTTGAAATATTTGTACTAAAGTAGTCACATCGACTTTGTTTGCCATGAAAAAAGGGATCCGGCATTACCTTCCTACCGGCGATATAATCGCTTTTTGCGTGTTTTCTTGATTTTGTCAAATATGCTATAGTAGCCTAACTGAGATAAGAAACTTGTAGTTTTTTACCTTTGAAAGTTTAATTATGTCTAAATAGCCCTTAGGTGGCGAGCTAATGGAACATTTTTCACCCTATCTATTGCTTAGGATTCTTCGGTTAAAAATATAGGTGCTCTACTTATCAGCATATCATAATCTTCACAAACTATTTTAAGGACAGAGCATAACTTAGGAGTGACCATTTAGAATAGTTTTGTCTCAGAGGTGCCCGGAGACAAATCACCGGAAGGAGATCTACTGTTAACGGTATATAGTGAGTAGTTTTACCAGAAGACTAATAAACTAAGAAGGTCAAAATTTATAGCGGACTGTTATTGGACAGAGCGTTTTCTTAGCTCGCCAGGGTCTTTTGGAAGGTTATCAGTTGTCGTATTCTTAACACCATCCTCCTCCTATGCCCACCGGAGCCTAACACACCCCTTCTGCCCCAGATTCACTCGAGGCGTAAAAACCTCAGGCTTCATAAACACAGTTTTTTTTTTAATTTTTATTTTTTTATT